GTACTGCTAATTTGCTGACTCAGTATCTATTGGATGGTAAAGAAAGTTTTTTTTTAACTCCTCCAGGTGAATTTCAGGTTCAAACACTGTTTATTGAGCATCTAGATTGTACCAGGTAGTATAATAGATACTTTCACACACAGTATTTATTTTATTCCTCCAACAATCCTGTGAGGTAAGAGTAATATCCCCATTTCAAAGCTGAGGACACTGATGCTCAGAGTGCAAGAAGCTTCCTTGCCTGAGGTCACCTAGGTAACAGCCGCAGAACCAGGAACTGAATCTTGGTCTCTGTGTCATCAAGCCCTCTGATCTTCCCACTACAGAACATGGCCTCTAGATTAATGTTACTGATTCAGGAATTTCTCAGACAAGCTGTGAATTACCCTCATATTCCCTTGGCTTTTTCCTTCTGGCTTTGGTTTCTATTGTAGAGTCTCTTCATTGGAAGCCCTGTAGGCCAAGGGTCATGAGCTGATGCCCATGTGCAGACAGTGCCCTTGGATGCCAAGAGTTGCTAAGAGGGTAAAGGCGCTCCCCTGGCTGCCGGAACACCTGCTCTTCACATAGAGGAGGCTGAAAGGGCCACAGATGCTGTTTCATTAACATGGATGGCTTGAAATTTTTCTTGTTGTTGCTGTTTGTTTTTTAAAGGGACTGACAAGGACTCCTTATCACTCGTGAGTGCCTTCCCAGCCACTGCCATCTCAACTCAGGCTTGACAATGAATGTAAGAAGTAAAGAGAGACTGCTCTGTAATTTGGTCTTGTTCTCTAGTGGTTTGGTGAACTCAGGGCAAAGCTGAATATCAGGGTGTATTGCACCAAAGTGGAATGATCCAGTCAGTAAATGTGACAGTTATCCTCAATCTAAAGGAATATGTCATCTACTCCTTTTTGAATAAAATACTTGGAAAATGTCATTTTGTGGTAAATATCTTTATCCTTAAGGGCCAATACAGGAGAGCCTGATGATAAACACAGGCCGCTGCTGACAGAGGACCACACTAGACATGACAGGAGCAAGGGACCCTCAGAGTCTCAGTAATATTCGGCTGAATGTTACAGAAAGGCCACAGCACAGGTTTAGTTCAAGAAATCTGAAGGGGAGATTGACCCCAACAAGTAGCCCCTGCTAAAACAAGCCCATTTGGAGCCTGTGATAGGTCTTGGTGGTCTCCTCTAGGGCCAGAGATTCTTCAACTTTTTTGGTATTTGAACCACCTGAGGTGTTTGCTGAGCCAGCAAGTTCTGGCCCATCCCAAAGGAGTCAGCTTCTCTAGCCTGAGTGGTGCCTAGAAATCTGCATTTTCAGAAGCACCTCAAAGGATTCTGACATCCCTGATACCCAGAGCCACTTATGACTTTCATGGCCCTGAGGCAGTTCTGCCTTTGTGGGCCCCTTAGTCCATAAAAAGTATTAAAAACTATACTTTTCAACTGCATTGATATAAACATGAATGTAATCCAGGTTGGATTATATTCCTTTTTTTTTTACTTTAAAAGAAACTATTTTTGTGGACCCCTAAAAGCTCATGGGCCCTAGCCACTGTGCCTACTGGATAGGTTTGCCCTCCTGATAACTGGATATAGTGCCTTTAGGTGTAACGCTGAGCCTGTATCCTTTAATCCCTTTGACCTCTGGAGAGTCAATGTATTTATTTACTAATTGATTTCACTCACTCAGGCATGGTCATCTGAGAAATGCTGGATGAAATGAGACCCAGCTCTCTTGGGGGCTGACAGCCTCCCCCTTTCACTATCTTTTCTCACCCCCACACTCCCCCTTCGAAGTTAGCCAGGATCTCTTTACACCAGGAAATCCATTCATACCAATGTCTTAACTCTCTTCCCAGGTCTCTGCAGGGCAAAGACCATCACCTGTAACTGAATTAAACGCCTTGTTTCAGAAGAGCTTTCAAATTTTTCTGACCCCAGCCTATACTGAGAAAAACATCATCAAGTGAATTAAGCCTGTTAAAAAAAAAATACATTTTATCTCAGGCCCAGTACACACACAGATAGAACTGAAAAGTTTTATGAAATATATTCACCCTGAAAAAATATTTTTCCTGGCAAGTTTCACAGCATAATACTTACTTCATTGAAATTCACTGAAATTACCTCTTTTGTTCCATTTTTTTAAAAATGCTGGTCTCACCCACTAAGTTGATTATATGACTCCCTTCTGGGTTACAACTTGCAACCTGAAACACAGTGGTCAAAGGAGTAGCAAACATAAAAGAGAAAACATCTGAAGACAGAGATGCGTCTATTCCTGCAATATCGGAATGTTCCCACTCTGGGTCACCTTACCCTCGGCCACACCATCCTCTGCCCCAAAGTATTTGATGGAGTATCGCCAACAAGGCCTCCTTGTTATGATCCGCTCAGTTAAGTATTTAACAAGCAGCTACCAAGTGCTGGGCTCTGATCAAGGCTCTGCAAATGCAGCAATGATCAAAACAAGTCCAAAGCCTCATGCAGTGACATTCTGGTTGGGGAGATGGACAATTATCAAGTAAACAGGTAAATATATAGTGGGCAGACGGTGCCACGGAAGGGTTTTCTTCAGACTCTTCTTTTCCTGGGCAGGTTCACGTAACACCTCCCTCCCTCCCTCTCTCTCCTGGAAGGAAGATGCTGTCTTTGGATTTATTGATACTCAGTCTGAAGCCTGAGGAGGATGGGGCCAGTAGTCAATTCATCTTAAAAGGTGACTTTGTGTATCTTTTCTGTTACGTATTTGTTTTATGAATGGTTACTCAGAGATCAATATGCTTTTCTAATTTCTAAATTCTTACTTACACAGTAATGATAATAATTATCCCCAGATCTTCTTGCAAATGAGAGTGGGGTCAATTTCACTAAACCAAGATTTTAGTCAGTTTCAGGAGTCAGCAGCATCCAGTCCTTCTTATTCTCAGGACTGGTGTTCCTAGATGCCCCAGTTCCTTCCATAAGGAGGCCTCATATTGGACCCCCACCTACTTCTCTCCTGGTTTGTGTCCTGCTCTGGAGGACACGGGCTAACCAGTGAGAATTCTGCAGGTGGTAGAAGTGCCATCACTTCAGACCAAGGCTAGACTCCACCCAAAGGATGCAACAGGCCAGGGGCTGGCCTTTCTGTAAGGGGATAGATAGTGAGTATTTTCAGCTTCACAGCCCATACAGCCTCTGTCACTACTCAATTCTTACACCATAACCCTAAATCCAACACAGACAGTATGTAGATGAATGGCGTGGCCGTGTTCCAATGAAACTTCATTTACAAAAACAAGCAGCAGGCTGACCCCTGCTTGAGGCTGATGGCGAGATCACTTCCTGGTGAGAACACTTGGAGCTTACGTTTGAGATAGGCTGAAGGGATGGGATGGGAGAGGAAAGGCAAAGACACTGAGGAAAGACGGCCTACAAATAACAAAGAGCCAGGGGCCTGCCTGGTGGCACAGCGGTTAAGTGTGCGTGCTCCGCTTCGGTGGCCCGCAGTTCACAGGTTCGGATCCCAGGTGCGTATTGACGCACTGCTTGTCAAGCCATGCTGTGGCGGCATCCCATATAAAGTAGAAGGAGATGGGCACAGATATTAGCCCAGGGCCAATCTTCCTTGGCAAAAAAAAGGAGGATTGGCATCACATGTTAGCTCAGGACTGATCTTCCTCACAAAAAAAAAAAAAAAAAAAACGAAGAGCCAGTCTGGCCAAAGAGCAACAAGCATGCAAGAAGGTGGCAGGAGACTGAAACTTAACTAGGTAAGAACAAGTACATTGACAAGCATGTGCAAATTGACCTTGTGCTGTTCCATCCTTTATTTAAAAATCGTACTCTTTAAAAATATTTTAAAATATTATTTAAAAAGTCATTTTCTATTAGAACCACAAATTTCTCCCTTGTATCAAAAGTTGTGCCACTATCCTGGTTACCTGTGGATTCACCAAGCAGTCCAGCAGGTCATCTGTAGAAATGAGTGTTTGAGAAGGGGCTGCAGCACCACATGAGGCAATTTGTCCCACAGCTGCATGCTCACTTCTACTCATCCTTTGTTGCCTCTGGGTACAATGCAATTTTCCAAAGTGTTCTCCGTCTTTGCCGACAAAGTCTTTACCATCACTTTCAAATATGCCTCCTCTTTCTGAGGGAGCTTCTTCGGGACTCGGTATCACAGGAACCAGATCAGGGCCAAAGGGACTTGCTGCCTCCTGTTTCCCTGTTCCGCGAGTTATGTTCTGGCTACCTGTTTGTCCCACCTCCCCGTGGTTGTGCACATTTAATTCTTTTTTTTTCACGTACTCTCCATTTGTTTTCAGTGCTTGCATTTCTATTACCCTAGATGTTCTGAAATGATCAAAAAAGGCAGAAACAGCTCCATTTAAGTAGCGACAATTGACTTCATGGGATGTTTCCTCTACCTAAGGAAAAAGAAAAATCCTTTAAAATGGTTGTACGCACTTACATATACTGGAAGACAAATGTTCTAGCCAGGGTTGATTTATCATAGGAAGCTAACCGCCATGACGAAAACCAGAAGCAGCCTACCTCGGTCGGGTTTAACCAAGCTCTGGTGTTGTGCGGATCCTCTGCAGTCTTCAGGGCACACACAAGTGTCCGGGTGATTGCCTCTTCTACCCGGGCTTGGTGGTCCTCTTCCTAAGTTTATTAAAAAAACACAATTTCTCATTTCTCTCTGTCTCATGGCTTAAAACAGAGAGTAGAGTCTCTCTCAATTGTGCATTCTGTTCTTTCATTAATGTAAACTTTGTTACAGAAGGAATGAATATGTTGTTGGCAGATCACAATTTTTATGTATTCACTATCATCTGCCATCTAGAAGAGTTGTAGACTATTTCACCAATCAAATTTAAGTATGTATCCTGTCTACAATACATACGCATTAAGTGAGAACCACCTTGTGATATTTTTTCCAATCTTCTCCACTCTCTGACATGTTTAAAATTTTTTTAAAAAGTATTACCCACAGAAGAATAATCCATATAGAGTTTGATAAGCTAATTGTTTGAGGAATGGGAGAAAAATTATCATAAACACGCTTGGCCACAAGAATGAGATGGTTAAACATCTAAATATGGTTGTTTTTTTTTTAAGATACAATAACTATAAACTATAGTATTAATAACAAATTACATTAAAATCAACAATTTCTGTTCATCAAAAAACACCATAAAGGAAAAAAACAAACCAAATGTCTGTAACATATATAATTAATATGAGATTGCTATCCAGAATATATAAAGAACCTGTAGATCCAATTTTTAAAAATGTGCAAAAGATGTGAAGACAAGTATCTCAAAAAAAAGCAATCATATGACTAATAAACATAAGAAAATATGCTTAACTTCATTAATAATCAGGGAAATGTAAATTGAGAAACCCATGAAACTGGCAAAAGAGGGTCTGATAATTCCAATGGTGGAGAAATGTGCATTGACAGACAGAAGTCTTATACACTGACGGTGGGAGTGCAAACATAGAGCCGTCTGGAAAATGTATTGGCATTATCTTGTAAACTTGAGTACTGCGTACCCTACAGACCAGCAATTTGACTCCTAGATACATACAAATTCTCTTTGTAACTCTTGCACACGTGTACAAGAATATTCTATTTATAAAAGCAAAAAATTGGAAACAACCCAGTTATCCATCAATAGAACAATGAACCAATGAATTACGGTACATTGACACAAGAGAATATTATACCACAGTGAAAATGAATGAACAGCTACACGTGACAACACAGGTAAATCTTAGAAACATAATATCAAATAAAAAAAGCAAATCCCCACAATAAGACGCCATCTCACACTAGGATGGCTGTAATCAAAAAGACAGATAACGAGCATTGGTGAGGATGTGGAGAAATCAGAACCTTCACACACTGCTGGTGGGAATGTAAATGGTGTGGCTGCTTTAGAAAACAGCCTGGCAGTTCCTCAAAAGGTTAAACACAGAGTTACCTTACGTGATGGCTAATTCTATGAGTCAACTTAGTTAGGCTGTGGTGCCCAGCTGTTTGGTCAAACACTAGTCTAGATGCTGCTGTGAAGATATTTTGTAGATGTGATTGACATTTACAATCAGTTGACTTTAAGTAAAGGAGATTATCCTCAATAATGTGCGTGGACCTCATCCAATCAGTTGAATGCCTTAAGAGCAAAAACTAAGGTTTCCTAGAGAAGGGATTCTGCCTCAACACTTTAACAGAAATCCTGAGTGAGTGTCCAGCCTGCCAGCTTATCCTACAGATTTCGGATTCCAGACTGAACTTCAACCCTTGTCTGAGTTTCCAGCCTGCTGGCCTGCCCTGACTAATACACTATGTGACCCAGCCATTCTACTCCTAGGTGTATACCCACGAGAAATGAAAACAGATGTCTACACAAAAACTTGTACACAAATGTTAACAGTAGCATTATTCATAACAGCCAAAAGGAGACAGAAACCAAATGTCCACCAACTGATGAGTGGATAAACAAAATGTGGTATTATCTATACAATGGAGTATTTTTCAGCCACACGAAAAGGAATGAAACACTGACACATGCCACTACATGGACGAATCTTGAAAACATTATGCTGAGTGAAAGACGCCAGCCACAAAAGACCACATATTATATGATTCTAGAATTGGTAAATCTGTAGAGACAGAAAATAGGTTAGCGATTGTCTGTGGCTAGAGAGGACAATGGGGGAACAACTACTAATAGATACAGGGTTTCTTTTTAGGGTGATGAAAATGTTCTAAAATTGATTATGGTATGGTGGCACAATTCTGTGAATACACTAAAAACTACTGAACCGTACACTTTAAATGGGTGAATTGTATAGTCTGTGAATGGATTTCAATAAAACCATTATTTAAAAAAAAAAAAGCAAGCACCAGAAGACTACATTAAATATGATCTCATTTGTATAAAGCTCAAAAACATGTCAAACTAAACAATATATTTACAGGGACACATAAAGATGTAACAAAATTCTCGTTTAAGCAAGAGAATGAGGCTAGTGAAGGGAACAGATGGGATGGGGAAGAGCACAACACAGACGCAAGTTGTTGCTAACTTGCTAGTTTTGGGGTTAGGTGATTTCATTAGTATTCATTATATTATTCTTTATAGCTTACAAATATGTTATATATATATTCTTTTATATGTATAAATACAATAAAAGACATAATAATGGAAAAAATATGAGAGTGAGAGGAAAGCCCTTACAAATTAAAAATATTTTTAAACAAAGTTTGGAAAAAATACTGATAAAATAAATACATTTCAATACCAAAAGAAAAAGGAGGAAAGGATGAAAAAGGCACAAGTGAGAAGAATTGAGAATACACTTTATCCCCTAGAATATATTAGAACAGACCGAATCTGCATTTCTTTAACAGAGAAACTGAGAAGGGATGAATACTGCACCACCTGAACAGGTTGAGAATCTCTACTTTTCTCCAAATCGACGTGACTCATCACAGGAATACCAGAGCCTGGAGTTAGCCTGAGTTATATGGTTATGGTAGGCTTTAAAATCTAAGGGCTTTTGGAGTTAAATTTGACAACCAGAAGGAATTATGGTCCAGTGCTTGAAGAGACAATGACAAAAGCAATACATGAAGAGGAAGACAGAATCACTCGACTCCCAGTTTGCACTCCAGTTTTTCAAGAAAGAATGAATGGTCTTCAAACTGTGAAATACACAGAAAGAAGTTAAAGAAGGATCTGGAGTCCTAGACTGGTGAAGGACAGAAAGCATCCACTTTAAATCAGCATCAAGTCTTAGGGACCAAACTTATTACCTCAGAGCCTGTTATACTCAAAGATACCAATCCTTTGGAAAATTCTATGAGACAACTAAACAGACGGTATATAACAAGCTTCTAAAAAGACCATGGTGAAGGCTTTCAAGCTCTTGAAGCCATGTAAATTCAAATCTACATAAAATATGAAAAAACAGTATTCTACAGTACATTTAAAAAAAAATACATCACAATTAAGTGGGATGTGTTCCAGAAATTAAGGATGGATCAATATTAGGAAATTCATTAACATCATTTACTTGAATGCCACATATTTACTAAAGAGGAATATTATATGACCATCTCCATCAGTGCTTAAAAGGCATTCAACAAAATTCAACGCCTTTTCCTGATTTTAAAAAACAGCAAAGTAATGAACTGATATATACTCAACATGATAAAACATATATACAACTCAGCTCCAGGTAAAGCATTTTACTTAAAGAGAAATCACTTGAGGAAATCTCTCTGAAGTCAAAAACAAGACAAGGATGTCACCTATCTCCTCTATTATTTATCATTTAATTGGAGATATTAGCCAATGTAATCAGACAAAAGAAAACAATTATAGGCAAACAAACCGGAAAAAAAGAGGTAAAACTATTTTAATTTTCAGGTAATCTGAGAGATGCCTGAAAACCCAAGAAATTCAATAAAAAATCATGATAAACAATAAAATAATTCAAATTAACACAAAAGTCAATAGCCTTCATATATACAAACAATATCCAGTCAGATGATATAATGGAAGAGAAGACCCTACATACCATAGCAGCAAAAAAGATGAATTACCCAGGGATAAGCCTTAAAAAGAAATGTGCATATCCTACATGAGGAAAACTTTAAAACACTCCTAAAATAAAAAAAACTAGACTTAACAAGTAGAAACGTACCTCATTCTTGCACAGGGCAATTCAATATCATAAAGTTCATATAAAATTTAATATGGATTGAATAAAAACATCAACCTTTTTTTTTCCCCGAAGCTAGACAAGTTGATTCTAAAGATCATACGACAAAATAAATTCAAGAAGAGCCAGGGAAACACTGCAAAAGAAAAGCTATGACAGAAACTGGCCCTACACATATTAAAAGCATACTCTGAGATCTCTCTAAATAAAACAAGGTGCAAGTGACGGAAGCACAGGAAGCAAGACCAACGGAAGAAACAGACCCAAGCGTGTAAGGTCGCTAGGGATCTAAACTAAGGTGACACTTTAAAATAAATGATGTCCTTGACAATTCTATTGTCATTTGGTAAAAGATAAAACTAGATCTCAACCTTATCCCATACACTAGTAAAACCTCTAAATGGATAAGAGAGCTAAACGTAAAGAAATGAAACAATCCAAATACTAAAAGAAAACACAGGTAAATTCCTTTATGACCTGGAGGAAGGAAAAGTCTTTCTAACTATGATTCAAAAACCAGAAGCAATAAAGTTTAACAACGCATCCTATTGGTGAGGTTGTGGAAAAAGGAGGCACTCCCATATACTACTGACGGACATGCAAAATGGCACAATCACAGTGAAGTAGAACTTGACAAAACCTAACAAAATTAAGGATACACTTACCCTATGACTTGGCAAACCCACTTTTAAGACTCTACCCTGAAGACGCACTTTAACAAACGTAAAACAACATATGCACAATGTTATTCACTGGCGTTATTTGTAACAAAAGATTGGAAACAACCCAAACAGCCATCCATATGGGAACTACTGAACAAACAATGGTGCACCCATATAATGGGGTGTAGACAGCTGTTGGAAAAAAAAGATTTCTCTGTACTACTATGTAGTTAAATACAGGATATTATTGTTATGTGAAAAAGTAAGGTACAGAACACTATAAATAGTTTATTACTTTCTGTGTAAGAAAGGGGAGGAAATGAACAAATATAAATAAGCATATAAATACATAAATATATAAATAGGTGTTTATATATTTATTCACATATAAGTAAATATATATATTTATTCATTTACTTAATTACTTATATATACAGTTACAAAGAAGACACATTGGAATGATGAACAAGAAATGAATAAAAATGGATCCGTGTAGGGGAGGGGGGAATGGAGTAGAGGCGACAGGGATGAAAGAGAGATGTCTCTGAATATACCTTCTAATATAATTTTAACAAGTTAAATGTTGTACATACTCAAAATATTAAATCAGATCAAAATGGGAAAAAAAAGTAAATCCTAATACTGAAAACAAACTGAAATAAATGAACCTAACTGAAATCAGTAACATAGCCACAATGAAAAGAATTCCTTCACAATGACTTCTGAACACAGTACTTTATACTTCATTAGTGCGATACAGTCTAATGATAAAAAAGATTGCAAAGAAATCTTAAATTTTCGTTAGTCATATTAGTATTACAGTTAGTCATATTAGTATTAGAATTCTGGAACTGTATATTTGACAGCTTAAAAAATATACTGCTGGATAAAGCTAACAACTCAAAATGTTACTGTTATTAAGGACCCAGATTTTCAGTGTAAGAGAAGAGATAAAAATACAGAAATGGGCTGGCGACGTGGCTTAGCAGTTAAGTGTGCGCGCTCCGCTAACGGCGGCCCGGGTTAGGATCCCGGGCGCGCACCGATGCACCGCTTCTCTGGCCATGCTGAGGCCGCGTCCCACATACAGCAACTAGAAAGTGTGCAACTATGACAGACAACTATCTACTGGGGCTTTGGGGAAAAAAAGGAGGAGGATTGGCAATAGATGTTAGCTCAGAGCCAGTCTTCCTCAGCAGAAAGACGAGGATTAGCATGGATGTTAGCTTAGGGCTGATCTTCCTCACACAAAAAAAAAAAAAATACAGAAACAAGTAAGAAAAAACCCTATAATGTTAACTTTGAATACCTTCCCGTCTATCTATCTATAATCTATCAACCTATCTATTTATATCTCATTCTAGCTTCGTCACTTGAAGTCTGGAAACAGTGACAGGCCAGTAGCAATGAGCGGGCTTAGAGCCCAGATCTTGGTTTCTAAATACCATTCCCACTAAAAGGAACCATGGCCACTTGGAGAAATTATTGACTCCCCAGTTCGGGGCAGAGAAAAGCACAAGGTAATCCTGGGATATCTTCTTGTACCAGAAAGCAAGGACACACTCAAAGATGAATGGGGACATATCTAAAGGGCAGAGGCTAGCTTGAAGGAGTTTCACTAAAAGGAAAAATGAGACTCAAATTCAAAATTATCTTGGCAAGCTGGAATGTTCAACCCAATCAACATGACGAAAACTAACACAAATGACTGAAGTACTGGATTTAGTTGTGTTAAAAGAACCATCTTGAGAGGTTCAGGATGGAGGACAATTTGACATGGCTGCTGATCACGGATATTTTAGAGCTGAAGAGGAATCTAAGGTGAGATAAGATGACTACAAAAGTGAATGCAATATTATAAGCAGCACTGAAGAAATTTAGGATCTATGTCATGTAGGGTAGAAATTTTATCCTCCACCCAATGAGGCCCACTCGTATTCAGTTTTGGTGGTATAGGTCAAGAGGGTTAATCTTGATGTAACAGCCCTCCCTCCTCCTCACAGCAATTTCTTTTTTTTTTTTTTTTGTGAGGAAGATCAGCCCTGAGCTAACATCCATGCCAATCCTCCTCCTTTTGCTGAGGAAGACCGGCTCTGAGCTAACATCTATTGCCAATCCTCCTCCTTTTTTTCCCTTTTTCTTCCCAAAGCCCCAGTCGATAGTTGTATGTCATAGCTGCACATCCTTCTAGTTGCTGTATGTGGGACACCGCCTCAGCATGGCCGGAGAAGCGGTGCGTCGGTGCGCGCCCGGGATCCGAACCCGGGGCCACCAGTAGCAGAGCACACGCACTTAACCGCTAAGCCACGGGGCCGGCCCCTCTATTTTTAAATACTTCCTATATGCCATGCATTCTATCAGATGCTTATACATGTTTTGCCTAATGTAAGCCTCACAACCACCCTAGTGAAGTGGGTGCAATTGCAATCCCCGCTCTATAAGAGAAGAAACTTAGGCTTGATGAGATTAAGTAACCATCTCTGTTAGACAGCTCTCAAAGGTATAGGCCCTAACTTAAATCTGCGACCAGAATGGTGAAGAGTCTGAAAAAAAAAGTCATATAAAAAACACTGTTAAAGAAACCAGAGGTTTTGAGCTTGGAAAAGAAAAAGATTAAGAGGACTCATGGCAGGTATCTCAAATATTTGAAAAAAAAAAATTCTGCACAGTTTCAGAAATAATGGGTACTGTTACAAGCAGGCAGATGACAGCTCTGGTGTTTAACAACAGATGAGCCACCTTGAGGGGAGAAGCATCCGTCAGGGTTACCGTAGATGAGCCTTTGGCACTGGGAGTAGAAGTGGACTCCATGGACTCTACACCTTGACATTGCCTCCAAATCCAATTCACCACGCTACAAGCAGAATTTCTTCTGCCGTACCTCTCACCTAATCCTCAAAGGCTACAAATGACTCTTCTCTAAGCCCACCCAATACAGCTTCCTGTTATAGTACAGTCATGTGTTGCTTAATAACGGGGATGTGTTTTGAGAAATGCATCATTAGGTGATTTCGTGGTTGTGAGAACATCATCGAGTGTACTTACATAACCCTAGATGGTATAAGCTATTACACATCTAGGCTATACGGTACCAATCTTATGGGACCACTGTCGTATATGCAGTCCGCCTTTGGCCAAAATGTCATTATGTGGCCCATGACTGTATTCCTTATGCTCCATCTATGCCATTACCAAAGGATAAGAAAAGCCTGACTGAGGGGAGGATGTAGCTGCCAAAGAGAGAAGAGAGATGCAATCAAGGCTTTGGGTACAGGAGAGCAGAAATGCAATCAAGGCCTCAAGTTAAAGAGAGCATAGGCGCACTCAAAGGCTCAGGTTAAAGAGACAGACTTGAGCTGTAATGGCAGCCATTTCGATTGTCAAGTAGAGCAGGCAACCAGGATTAAGCATAGCACATTGGAGGGAAGAGGCCTCTGGCAGAAAAAAAATGATAAAACCTAGCACTAAAAGACTCTGCTTTGAGAAAATGTGCAAGCCAGGACTGAGAATTCTGCAATTAGTAATGAGGACCCTGAACCAAGAAGCAGATGTTTCAAGCCCAGATGGTGTGGGAAGGGACTGGCAACATGGGACACATAAGGCAGATCCAGCCAGACCCAACACAATTCTCCTAACAACACTGGTCAAGGGAGAAGACCCTGCATGCCAACGTCAGGGCCCATTATGTGCCTCCAAAGAAAGAGAACAGCGCATCACTAAGAAGTCTATTTCCAACCTAAACATCCATCAGCAGAGCATAGAACACATAAATTATAGCATATCAAGACAAAGGAAGACTGGAGTGTTGGTTAAAATTAATCACCAAGTTCTATAGACAAGTTTTGTATATCTTAAAAGCAGAGATTACATTTATTAAAAAAAAAAAAAATACCAGCTCAATCCAGGAGTTTATACTGACAGTGACAGGATCAATGGATTCTACATAATGCCACCAGTGTCTGGGAACAAACAGAACCTGAAAACCAAACAAAAAATGGTTAGCACAAGAACAGGACATTTTATTTTTACACCAGAATCAGATCCTAGGGGCCGGCCTGGTGGCATAGCAGGTAAGTTCCCATGCTCCACGTCAGCGGCCCAGGATTCGCCAGTTCGGATCCTGGGCGCAGACTTACCCGCCACTCATCAAGCCATGCTGAGGCAGCATCCCACATAGAAGAAGTAGAACGACTTAGAACTAGGATATACAACTATATACTGGGGCTTCAGCAAGAAAAAAAGGGGAAAAAAAAGAGGAAGAGTGGCAATAGATGTTAGCTCAGGGCCAATCTTCCTTAAAAAAAAAAAAAGAGGTCCTTGTTTAAAAAACAAAAGAATCACACCCTAATTGAAGCTGCCAGAAAAAAAAAGGAATACAAATGAATTTATAGTAATATTGCTGTAGGAAAGGGAAACAAAAAAAAATACCCCACAGCATTACTCGTAGTAGCCAAAAAGTAGAAACAACCCAAATGTCCATCAACTGATTAATGGAGAAACAAAATGTTCACAGGATGAGGCAACTTAGTCAAGTCAAATTGTTCGAATTGGAGTACTCAAGTGTGAAGTAAGAAGAAAAAGAGCCAGTGAGAAGGGAGCAGAGGAAGAAAAACAGGCAGGGAAGAAGGATGATCGAGGGAATAAAATCTCCTTAAAGACTAAGAAAACCTTTCAAACTGTTAATAACATAGCAGACAGCAGATGCCAATGTTGTAAAGGCAATTTTCCCCCTTGGGTAGCAGCACTAAGTACCTTTGGAAATGTTTCAGAGACGGTCAGTTACAAAAGCAACATCCGTCCTTGCTTACAAGCAAATCACTCTCAGCTCATTCTGCCTCTGTCGGCCCGCCACCTGGATGCAGTCCAACCCGCGTATCTGTGTCTGGGTTCTAGCACAGCTGAACAGATATTATGTTCCAGAGGTGCTCAAGTACCCACGCCTTGACACCCAATCTTTTTTTTTTTTTTGTGAGGAAGATCGGCCCTGAGCTAACATCTGCCAATCCTCCTCTTTTCTGCCGAGGAAGACCGGCCCTGGGCTAACATCTGTGCCCATCTTCCTCCACTTTACATGGGACACCGCCACAGCATGGCCTGACAAGCGGTGCCTCGGTGCACACCCGGGATCTGAACCGGTGAACCCCGGGCCACCACAGCGGAGCACGTGCACTTAACCACTTGTGCCACCGGGTGGGCCTGACACCCAATCTTAACGTGAATAAAAATGACTGTGAGTTCTTGTCTTCCTCCACAGTCCATTCTCCTCTTCACCAGTAAGAAGAGCTGTGTTCCCTCCTCCCATTTCCTTTCCATGACCTGTGAGGCTGAGAAGTGCGTGTGTGAAGCCTACAGGTGGGGAAGCTACCTTCCACTAGCAGAGCAGCAGGGAGGGAAACCATTCTCGCAGGGCATAGGTCCATGCCCTGGATCTGAACCTGCAAACCCCAGGCCACCAAAGCAGAGTGCACAAACAACCACTATGCCACCAGGCCGGCCCCACCGTTCTCATTTGTACTGGTGGGGAGGCACGTGGCATGAGAACTTGAGAGAAGTTACAGCTGGTATGTCCACTAACAGGTCATCAATGTTTTAAAGCCCACATTACCTGCCCTGGGTTCAATGTAACCATATGTCTTCGAGCTTTCTGGAACTGAGGAAAACGTTTTAAATCAGGATTGACAACATTGACTTTACTAAACACACTAGATTCTTCATAAGGGATTCTAGTTGGATAAAGGAAAGGAGTATCTTCAGGAGAAAAGAGATGCCATCTTTTCCTAATTAAAAAAAAAAAATAAGATATGAGTTAGTACACTGAACTTGAGACAAAACAGGTAAGAAGGCAGCAGCTAAGTGCTCATTTTTATTCATTTTAATTCAATCCATAAAGGAATACAGGAGCAATCTCAGTGGTCACCTGGCCCACCCCTCACTCAGGGCTGGAGTCCCCTCTGAGGACACCTGGTGGGGGAAGGACGGCAACCAGTGGACAGTTCGTGACTCCCTAGGCAACCCCTTTGTTGCTGAGACAGGATCTAGTTTGTAAAATTATTCTTTCTGATCTCTAATCAAAGTCTGCCTCCTCACAAATGGTTTCTATCCCTGACTCGAGAGCTACCCAGAATAAGCCCCTCCCTTTCAAATACCTGTATTCTTATCCACAGCAACCACCCATAGTTCTATCCAAAATAGTTTCCAGACTTCATTTGGGCTATAAACTCCTCAAGTTAAACATCTGTTAAGTTAATCCATTAAGGAAGACAAATGCATAAATGATGCCGTACCACTCAAGAGTAGTATAATACAGGAATTTTCAAAAAGAGAACATTGTAAAACATTTCACTCACTTTAAACATTTTTGAAAAACAGAGGTGACAAATCTTAACTCAAAACACACCAGACACACCCATACTTTGAAGCTGATAGAGGGAGGGTAAGGAGGGAGAAGTGTGAAAAGGGAAGAAAAAGAGAGCGACAGAAATACACAGATGGGGAAGCAAAGAGAAAGGAAGAAAAAAAACCCACCTGATTCTGGAAAAGCCCTCACACCCTCCAGTGACCTCCTGGAGTTACAGTGGAGCAATCGTGTCCTCTCAGAACTGGGAAGCAGGTGGCTGCTATTTTCAAACTAAGAAGTACAGACTCAAGTCTTATTTTGCCTTAGAAATGACAAAGCTGCTCCATTCCACTGTACCTATGACAAGTTTGGGAGCAGTTTTCAGCATTCAGTATGTTTAGAATGTTAGAGCTGGAAGGGCTCTTAAGAGATCATCAGTCTAATTTCACTTTCAAAGTGGTGAAAGAGGGACCCAGTGCTCGCTCAGTGCCATTCACTGGGCTAGTGGCTGGTGGTGGACCCAGAACTAGGTCACAGATCTCCTGACCTCTCCAGGTCCCAGGTCCTTCTCCTGCACCACAGCTGTGTTTCCCAAAGGAATAGACACAACGATAACCATCCCATACAATTTGCTTTGCTTGGCTTAAAATGTAACATATATGCACCCTCCTCTCATTAATCAGGAAAGGCAGTCAATCATGTCATCCCTGCTCAAAAATCCATGGTTCCGCATGCCGAAAGAACAGAGAATAAGCAGTATTTGCCCGGCAGTCAAGACCTCAGGCTCCACCCTGGCTTTCTGGCCTAATCCCTGTCTCCAATGTACAGTTTACCCCAACGACTCACAGGGTCCTCTACACACCCCACGCTTTCCCAGGGTTCTGCTTATGCTGGTCCCTTGGCCCCTCCATCTGTGTCTTTTAAACACTTACCCATTCATCAAAGCCCATCACAAATGGCAGCTCCTCTCTCAAATCTTCCCTGATCCTTCCAACAGGAATGTTCTCTCTTCTACTTTTCAGTTTCCCAGCTCTATAAAACCTTCCTCTAGAGCATGTACATTCTGCCTTATATCACTGCTACTAGTGGGCTTGTCTGCACGCTGGCTGTGAACTCTCTTAGGGCAGAGATGTCTTGTTCACTCACCTCATTCACTTCCAGATTCCTACTGTAACACATAGTACCTACACAGGAGGATACTCAATGACTGTTTACTGAATAGTTATTTTATTACTCCAGAGCTAGATGAGGCCAGAATACGCTCTATTACAAAGTTCCCATAAAGCTATATTAATTTTATATCACAGAAAGAACCCAGGTATTTTTTGGTAATGTTTTTCCAACTAGAATTTCTCTGGCTTATTTCCCAATTCAGAACACATGGAAAGCAGCTACTTAAAAGGATGCCCTCTCTTGCTAAGTGTAAGTTCAGACTATTAACTCCACACGTACAGGGACCATGCACACTTGATTCACTGTTGCATCCACGGCGCGCAATAATGCACCTAAGAAGTTCAAGGCCCTTTAATGAAGACTTGCTGAGTCAAGGAGTGGACTACCTTATACCATTTTATAGTTTTCAAAGTACTTCGCATGTGAGATCTATTCACATACATTTCACTGTTTCGCTTGGATCTCATAATCCTCACAATCGTTTTCGTGTCTAAAGGGTCTGAGAACTCACAGCCAGCCATTTCTACTTTTTCCTCTGGGCTGCCTTGTAAACGTCCTGACAGGCCAGGAGAGGAGATTGGGGCATCATTAATTAGGGGAAAATAAAGCTGCACATAAAACATTCTGAGCACATCCTCCAAGTGACAGAAACACTAACTCTCACATAACTCCTGAAACCAGGGACTATCAAAAGTATTGCCTGCCTTAGCCCTTGTATCTCTTAGGGGCCACAGAAACTGACCTAAGGTAATAAGATACTGCATTGTGTCTACATGTGGGCACATACTACAATTTAGAGTTGAAAGGAGCCATAAATACCATCTGGTCCAGGAGTTCTCAAACCAGGCTCCTTGGCAGCCCCTCAGGGTCGGCAGGTAGCAGCAAAGCCTCTTCCTTTCAACAAACTGCTCTATTCTTATTTATTTAGGTTTGAAGAAAGGGTGTTTCTCCTTTTAAATAAAAGTTTGAAAACTACAAAGGCAGACTTTTATATAAACAAAAGAGCTAAGCAGACAACCGTATAGCTGAACTGGGAGTGGAATCCTGGAATTCTAGGATCCGCTTTGTGAAGGCAATCCTGATCAAGGCTGAGAGACACTCCTGGAAACCACCATTTAAACTGTTCCCTTCATTTCACAAAGGAGGAAACTGAGCCAGAGGTTAAGAGATCTACCCTGGTCATGAGGCAGATTGACAGGATGGAGCCGGGACTAAACCTTGCGGTCCTGCTGCCCACTCAATACTCACTCCTCTTCCTGTGCAACACACACACACACACACACACACACACACACTCATGCATGCGCCTGTGCATTACCTTCCTTGTACCTGAAATACTAAGTTGCAACCATAGGAGTCCAGATGACACGGTGTATGGGCTCCCACGGAGCCGATCCACAACGTACTTTCCCGTCCATTTCTTCCAGGAAACCCGAAGTCAGACCACATCACATCCTGTTTTGAAAATAAAGGTACAGTCCATCAAGAACCAACCAACTCCACTGTATGGTAGTGTTGTTGCACTTCTGCTTTCTGGCCCTTGGAATACTCTCTTATAGAAAATGCTACAGATGGAAGAGGATAGGTTTCCAGAGAAGTCCAAGAAATCTTGTTAACCAATAACATATCTGAATTATTTCACTAATAGTAGTTATTCAACATATATTTACTGACTGCCTACAACATGCCAGGCAATGTTCTAGAAGCTTGTGATGAATCAATGAACAAAACAGACAAAAATGCCCACCCAGATGAAGCTGATATTTTAGAGGGTGGAGACAGACAATAAATTATAGCCATAATTATGCAGCTTTCTAGGGGAAGAGTATTTCAGGCAGCGGGAACAGTGACTGTAATGAAAGTAGAAACATTTCCAATATCTCTGAAGTTCAACTCAGGAAGCCAGAAAGCCATCTTTCCTCTAAGCAGAGCAAACATTTCGCAACATAAGTAATATATTAACTTTTTGCACTTCAATGATCACGTAAAAGAAGCCTTCTCCTAGGTTAGTACAGTTTAAAACTATAGATGCCAGTCTTAGTTCATACCTGCTAAATCAGAGTCTCCAGGTGGGGGCAGCACAGCACATCTTTTGAAAAGCATATCTATTGAAGACTTTTGCTATACCACCAAAAGTCATGAACTCCTAAGGGTAATGAACCTTAAAACAGAGACCAGCACAGAGCTCTGGACTTGGCTCTCCTTACGCTCGGTTCTGTGGATTGAGCATACCCAAGTCAACAACTGACCCATAACTACCATCTGGTCCAGTAGTTCTCAAACCAGGCTCCCTGGCACCCCCTCAGAGGCCTGGGAGGAGCAGCAAAGCCTCTGCCTTTCAACAAACAGCTCTGCTCTACTTTATTTAGGTTTGAAGAAAGGGTGCTCCTGCTTTTAAATAAAAGTTGGAAAACTACAACCATAGTTTGACATAAACTGAAGTCCATGGAATTAAAAATATGTATAAGCTAGAAAAGAAAAAGAACATACTAGTGAACCAGACATAAAGGTTTTGTTTTATTCATTTTTTTAATCATGAATTTTTCCTATTGAGTTTTAAAAAATAAAACAAAAAACACTTCTATCTGCAGAACATGGTCTTAAATCTAGACACTTCTTTTATCAGTATCTTCAATCTATATTTTCTATTTTTAGAGGCAAACCATTAACAGCTGTATTCAAAGAGAAAAAGGATTTTGGAGAGACATTTAATGGATGGTTTTAAGGAAGCCTAGCAAAAGCATTTTCATTTTTGTTTTGAGTGATGAAAACAGCGGAATATGTGCATGTAACCAATGTCTGTTAATGGGAGGGGAGTTTTTGCAAGGTCAGCGCTACTGTAAATGCGTACAGCTCACACACAGCAGCTCCCGGGGATGGCAAAAATCACGTCCCCTCTGGATACAGCCCATAAGCTCCACGCAGCGGGCTTACCTCTGTATTCCCCATGTCTAACACAGTGTCTGGTGCAGGAGAAGTGCTAACAACACTGGCTGTTTGGGAGGGAAAGTAGAATCTGTTGGCTTATTATGGATAAATGGTTCAGGTCAAGAACATTTTTGAGCATCTCCCGCACACCTGGTATGACGCTGGGTGTTTGGAATACAAACGTTAATACAACACAAGCCCCCACTTCAAATCTAATAATGGGAAACAGTCCCACAAATGGCCTTTTTCAATATAGTGCGGCAAGTGCCCTGGCAGAAGTGAGCAGAGGTCGCTCTCAGATCACAGAAGAAGGGTTCGAGGGCCAAGCAGGGAACTTAGGAGAGGCTTCCTATTAACCCGGTCCTGTGAACAATTCACCACACCTCAGTCTGGAACTTAACTACAGGCAGCTGAAAGACCTGCAGTATATAAATAAAAAAACAGGGCTTTGCCTTAGCTAAAAAGAGGCTGGTGTAAGTGGTTCTTAATCTTTTTATAGATACACCCCTCTCCTGAGGAAACTGCATACACACATAAAATTTCATACATACTTTGAGCGAGTTGATGGACTGACCCCAGGTAAGAGACTCTGTTCTAGAGTACAGCTTCAGAAAGAGTCAGAGAGAGGCCAGCCCGGTGGCGCAAGTGGTTAAGTGCATGCGCTCCGCTGCGGCGGCCCAGAGTTTGCAGGTTCGGATCCTGGGCGCGCACAGACGCACTGCTTGGCAAGCCATGCTGTGGTGGTGTCCCATATAAAGTGGAGGAAGACAGGCACGGACATTAGCCCAGGGCCAGTCTTCCTCAGCAAAAAAAAAGAAGAGAATTGGCAGATGTTACCACAGGGCTGATCGCACAAAAAAAAAAAAAGAAAGAGTCAGAGAACAAAGAATTTTCTACAGGTTGGGGGGTGACCATGAGAAACTAAAGAGAGGCTTCCCTGACCTCTTATCTAACACAGTAATGTAAAAAAGAAAATTATTTTGGAATGATTGGATCAGGGTGACCTAAACTACCTAAAATTCAGTTGTAAATTGGCTGGGAAAACCCAACGGTGAAGGGTTTGTTGAGGAGGGGCAGAGCGAGAGTGAGTCAAAGTAAAATTGTCAGAAAATACAGCATTTAGTGTACCTATTTTGTGTTTCTTTCCCTCAGGTCTTGAGAATTGGGACTTTCTTGCCAATTGAGTTCACCTACTTATGGGCAGTCAACCATATGAAATCAACGCAGGCCCAGGAGAATCTGTCTTGAGTCTTGCTAGAAACAAGTGACCTGTTAGGCCACTATATCAGTGACACCAATAACAGGTGATTGGTGGGGTGATCCATCCTGGGTCCATTCTCACATCCACTTCAAGAGCTGGAAAAGTCTTTACATACCATCTATAGCCAGAAAATTCTATTCTACACCACCCCTGAAAAGACCAATCAAGTGTCTGGCTGATGGCTCACTACAAAACCACTATTTGCCTTCTTATAACTTCCAGAAGGTCCTAGATTTGCTTTCTAGAGACAACAAATTTATCTTCTCTTCTGCCAAAAGTTGCTGTCTTTAAATTATCTGAAAAACTGCCTTCTCCTTCATCTTTTTTTCTTTATACCTAGGATCAGTAGCATTAATTCTCCTTTCAGCTGCCCTCCTCTCACAATGCTTACTTTGTCAACAGCCCTCTTAAAGCCTGGCTCCCAAACCAAACCTCAGGCCCAGCCTACGTGGTACCTTGGATATTCGATGGCAACATTCCATGACCTGGACATTATACAGTAATGCACTGTCAGTGCTGTTTTTTTTTTTTTTCCTAAGCAACTGAGTTATACCAGGGCTTATCTTGGGCTTGCCTGCCTTTTTCTTATGAACTGTTGCCTAGCCATATCTCTTCAGCATTGACTTAATAGATTTTAGGAAACAGCCCTGGGACTCTACATTTATTCCTTGTAAACTGAATCTTGTTAGTTTCTGCCTGATGTTTTACAATGTTGATTGTACATCAACCTCTATACATGACTCCCAAACTTCATCTCCAGTCTTATTTCTCCTATTCATGACTAAACCTATATCTTCAACTGCTAACAAGTTATCTCTACCTGGTTACTGAAACCCTACAGTGGGCCAGGCTCTGACCCTACATTTATATGTATCATCCCATTTAATACTTATGAAATTAAAGGTAGTTATGCCCATTTTACACACATGGAAACTAAGGGATAGTATTGTCCTTTTGACAGTACTGTAAAAAAACATGGAGACAATTTTTGGCTGTCACAATAAATGGGAGGGAGTGCTACACGTATTTAGTGGATGAAGCCCAGGGATGCAGCTTAACACAACAAAGGTCCTGTATCTTGCACAAGTTTCATAATGCTGAAAACTCTGATCTTAATTACCTGAGACTAGAACTTATTCTATTTCACATATCATCAAAGCATTTGTACTTGTATATAGATAAATATACTTACTTAGCCTCATTTCAAAGTGTTAAATATAAAACGTTGGAAATATTCTATGGAATTTCATCTTAATTCTTTTAAATCAAACTTTCTCCATTTAAAGGACCACAAACCTCCCTGCCTTTGCTCCTGCTGTTCCCTCTGCACGGCTGGTCTTCTCCCCACCCCTTCCCACATCCCAGTCTCTTTCAAGACCCAGTGTAAATGTCACTTCTTTGAACCCTTCCACTCCCCCTTATGCAACTTGGTCATCCTCTCTCGGTCTCCCTCTCCCAAGGAAGTCTGATTCTTTGCTTCTGACCCATTCTCCTCACAGCAGCCAAAGTGACCTTAAAATGTTAGGTCCTGTCACTCCCTTGCTTTCCATTTAAAATTAGATCCAAAGGTCCTCCATCATGGGCCTGCACGACCCCTCTCACCTCTCTGACACCTTTAACCCTTTCCATCTCATTGGCGAGGCTTCAGTCACACTGGCCTTTTTTCCCCAAAAGGCAAACTTGTCCCTTCACGGCCTTTGCACATGCTATTCACTCTACTTAGAAAGTCCTTGACCCTCCCTTCACATGGCTAGCTTCTCATATTTTAGGTGTTAGCTTCAATATCACCTCCTCAGAGAAAGCTTCCCAACTTACCCTATCTAGAGTGAGTCCCTCTCCTGTTACTCTTGATTTTGGCCCATTTTTGCTTATTTCATAACACTTATGATGACCGGCGATTAGTTGTTAGACTCACTTGTCTGTCTTCTCCTCTAGAATATGAGCTCCCTGAGGAGAGGGGACCAGGGCTGCCCGTGACTCTCTAGCCTCAGCACAGTGCCTGAAAAACAGGTGCTGGTAGAATGAATCCGTAACCACTCACATTTTACAGTTATTTTCCGTCTTTTGAACACTTATTCACCTCACTAACTCCAGCAACTGGCAGAGTCCACAGCACACAGCAGAACCTAAATCTAGGTTCTGCATTTATCTGTCCTGAGCTTTGGCACTTCATGTTTTTCACTGGCTGGAAGACTTATCACTGTTTTGCTTCTGGAATTTTTTTCTTGGGCAAATACAGGTCTAGTGGGTATGGTCCTGGGGTTCC